GAGCAGGAAGGTTGCATTGCTTTAATATTATCTAGTGTAGTAATCTTTTAACAGAAATAGGTGATATTCGAAGGATTTTTAATGATATCAATTCTGAGACTGACACTGATGAGGATAATAATATATTATTTTTTATAATTATTATTTTGGCTCTTCTATTGCAGAATACTTCAATGAAAGTACCAATATTGACAAAGAAAATGGTAAAATGGTATACAGTCATAATGTATTTTTTAGATTGTAATAATGTTTCTTTTGGTACTGGACATACAGTTACTAGACAGTTTGTAAGAGCTAAGGGTTGTGATAAATCTATCAGAAGTACAAGAACAACTGACAGTATACACAATAATAGCAGCTTTATCATTTCCTTTAATATTAGCTGGTAATGGTGATTCTACTATAAGTACAATTCCTAGTCAAAGTACAAGAGCTAAGGGTAACTAAAGTTACTTATACTGTTGTTATTAATAATATTCTTAGCTGGTAAGAGTGATTATAAGACTGATGCTGCAATGCAAGTACATTTACTAGACAATGTACAAGAGCTAAAGGTAAACAAACTATTATGTGAGTATCTTTATACATGTTGTTGTTAGCTGGTCGTAGTGATTCTACTGCGAGTAAAGTTTCTAGACAATGTACAAGAGCTATAGGTAAGCAAACTACTGTGTGATTATTTTTTATGTATTACAATTAGCTGGTCAAGTAATAATGATTCTACTGCTAGTAAATTTACTAAACAATGTACAAGAGCTAAAGGTAAGCAAACTATTGTGTGATTATCTTTATTATGTATTATAATTAGCTGGTAATAGTGATTCTACTGTAAGTGCAGTTTCTAGACAATGTACAAGAGCTAAAGGTAAACAGAATATTGCGTGATTATCTTTATATGTATTATTATTAGCTGGTAAGAGTGATTCTACTATAAGTGCAGTTCAGAGACAAAATGTAACAAAAGCTAAGAGTAAGCTGTAGTGGCAGCTGACATGTTATTTCTATATTTTTTTATTAGCTGGTACAGGTGCTAGAAGTACAGGCAGTACAGGTACAAGAGCTAAAAGTAAGAAAATGATTGCTAGTATTAGTGATGGGCGGTATCGGTTCCAAAGTATCCGGTTCCACGGTTCTGGTGCTTGATTTGCTGGCACCGAATCCTGAAGCAATACCGACCGAAGTTTCGGTTCCGGAAGCCACACCCAATAAGCATTATTATTAACTAATATAACTAGTAATAATCACTAATAATCAGCTAATTATTATTCATAAATATTGAGTAATTAATTTAAAATGGCTACGTGTGGCTATTCCATGCTAGATACTACAGGTAATCGGAACCGTACTCGGTACCATCAATACTCTCAGGTGAAGTACTCGGTATCGAACCGAAATGAAAAAATCTGGTACCGCCCATCACTAGCTAGTATACTATAGATTTACTATGTTTGTGTTATTAGCTGATGATGATTATGCTACACAAGCTGCTAGAAGTAAATAAAAACTGTATACATAATGGTATTTCATGTATTAATAGGTGTTCGTTTTAATGTGCCTTCATCAAATGAAAGTTTTGCTGAGTGCCCTATATGTGGCAGGGTTTATGGAAGTGAAGATGACACTAGTTTGTGGATTTGCTGTGATAAATGCAACCAGTGGCCCGGGTTTGATTATGACTGTACTGAACTGGAAGGAAATGTTATACCCAAGTTATTCTTTTGTAAAAATTGTTCATAAGTGATGTCCTATTATTATTATGATTTAAATACTTTGCAGACAAAATGTTTAAAGGTTCTGACTTGTTATTATCATTTTACTATTGTTAGTGCTTGAATAATCAATTAACGATTAAAGAGGCATGGTCAAGCTGCTATTATATATTTACATAGATATTAGAGTAAATATTATTAGATATTAGAGTATATTAGAGTAATTTCATTTACTCTAATATCTATGATATTTATTACTACTGCAGCAACTAGTTACAGGACCTTTTCTCCAGACATTCAAAAAGCTCAAAGATGTATCTTATTTTAAGTGTACAGAGTTCATTTAAATGCTGCAGTGCTTCTGCAGAGATATAATGCGAAAACGAAAAAGGCCAGTTCCACGAATATAGGTGTCACCGAAATATTTTTTTTAATATTATTTTTATATAGCGAAAGACAGTATCAGGAAGAAACTTGCTGCAGCAATAAAGGAACACCAGGTCTACACAGCAGATGTGTTATCAATGCCTTCTGCTCAGCCAACTGTGAGAAATGATGTTCGAATATAGATGGTGCGCGATAATCAGTGGCTTACTCTACTTTGATCTTGCATTTCTGTTAGTTGATGCTTCAAAATTGAAGTCACACTCACAGTTATTGCACATCACTTCCTAAATAAAGTGGGTAAACCAAATGTATTGAATGCTGCATGAGGAACTTTGGATTGCACAATTATATTTGGACACTGATTAGAAAAAAGTATATATCTGGTAGACCCAGGCAATAATGATGCATAGTGGTGAAACTCTTGATAGTTTGCATAAATACAGGCTTGCAAATTTTTCTCAAGTCGTGAGACGTATTATATAATACTGCCTAAAAACTTGTTTATCAGTTCACTTTATGCACATCATTTTCCAGTTCTTATTATGACTATGACTATCTTGCTTGTATTGAATTAGATATACAGCATTTCTAAAAATTACATAAAAACAACATTGCTAAGTTTAATGTTGCCAGATTACTTGCTTCATTTGCTTATATTCTTTATTGTCAGTAAAGAGATGTATTATCTTCTTTCTTCTCTGCATTAGTTGTTATCATTATTCATGAGCATGTCAACAGTTCCAAATGCCATTGTTATCACAAAAAGTCAGCAGAATAGCTACTGCATTATACAAAATATTCTGTTACATTAGTACTAATTTCAGTAATTTGCATACAATATTGTTATAGTAATAAAAGAGTAATAAAAGTCTAATTAAATTGGTTTATAATTATGGGTACCGTATAGCAGGTTTCTTCCGTTTGGTCAAACTTTTGTTCTTTTCGTTCTCCAAGCTCCAAAAACAAAAATTAAACCCACGAAATTTGCTGTGGGAGAGCTCGATCCGGAGTTCATCTTCATTGGGTTAACACTAGCACATGCACAAATGGGTGTTATGGGTGGGGTTGTTGGGTGTGGCTTAATTTTTGCAGATTAGAAGGACCAAAATAAAACCCACGAAATTGGATTTCCCCCTATAAAACGAAAGTTTGGCCGTCGAATGGCCGAACGAAAGAAACCCGCTATACGGTAATTATTTTGAAAATTGTAAATTATGTATACTCTTGTGAATAATTTACAGTACATCATAATAAGGGGAAGTGGGAAATTACTGAGTTTTAATATCAAGAGTATGCAAATTATAATAAATGCCATATCTTATTTTCATAGGAAGTAAGTTTCTTTCTAATTCAGCTAGTTAAAATTATTCAATAAAATAATGATAATAATAAATTATTCATTATTATTTATTATTATTATTCTTTGACAACAGTAATATCACTGAGATTTATAATGGCTACATTGTACTAAATATTAACTGGATTCATGAGTCATAACAGCAGAGCCTGTTTTCAGATTAGGAGCATGAGCACAAATTTCATGCAGTGCCAAAAATGTCAGTCATGTTTCTCTGCACATTGGACTTGTTGGACTCGCCACGCTTGCGTAGGCGGGTACTAAGCAGTTGGGTTGTCATTCTGTCTGTCATTCTGTCACGAAAATTCCTGTTAATTCCTAGTCAATATCTTTTTTACTGAGCTCTCCTGGGTTATAATTCTTTTTAAGCTTTGAGAAAAAGATAATTTATTTAGCTCCGTTGTATTTTCATAGCAATCCGTGGTAGCGGCAAAAGCTGAATATTTTCAAGAATAGACCACTTTTCCTAGCCAAATCTTCGTGTTTCACTCTATTTGGTCAAGATTAGCATTGATAGGTAGAGAAAAGTACCTAGATTAAAAAATATGTGGGGATTTTCTAATCTCTTTTTTGTTTGCGAGTTACAGTTGCTCAAAGTTTGTGATTTAGCCTCTTCGAAAAATTTTCAGGCAGCACTGGGGAAAGCAAGAGCAACCAAACTATCTCAGTCTCTTTTAAATATCTAGGCAAATTTCTTGTGCTTACTCTTTCTTTGAATAGAGCTTCAGATGCTAAAATAAATTTCAGCTTTTCTTCTTTCTCCTACCCACGTGCCATGTTTATCTGCACTGCACTGCTAGGTGCTGACCACACCTATAATTTATTTTATGGATCAGTGCAGTAATTGCATTGTTGCACTTTGTCAAAATCTATTATCCTTTTTTTAAATATCAAGTTGCTTATATATATAATATCATGATGGGGACAATACAAGTAACACATTATCCCTCAGGTGAATCTCAGCGGGCGAGTCCACGCACCATGGTGCTTCATTTAACATTTAGTTGACTGAAAAAGTATGCATAGTATAAAGCGGACCGGACCGGACCAACGGACCCGATAAGACTAATTTACGGACCGAGCGATGGACCCGATACAAACTAATTTATGGGCCCGACCAAGGGACCCGAAAAGACTAAAGTACGGACCCCGCGTTAATGACCACGGACCTGACCGACCTAGCAGCATAGATATCTATGCTAGCATCAGTATCTATGATGCTAGCAAACTCCATGATGGCCTAGACAGCATACAGAACTTCAGTGACAAAAATGATTTTTATCTATGGTGATAGTGATGCTATCAGTTGAGTCATAATACAATCAATGAGGCCGTAGTTCATCAAGTTGTATTGATCAAGTCTGTAATTTCAACTTGAGTTAATAGTTCGTTATATTCATGCATCAGCATTTATTTATTTATTTAAATTTTACAGTGATCAGCAATAAGAATGAGAATGGTTAAGAGGCTAGATAAAACAAGCACTAAAGGCCTGACCAAAGAAGCATGGCCATGAAGCCAGAATATAAAGAAAAAAAAGAGGAGAAAAAGAAAAGAAAAAGAAACAAAAAACAAATAAGAGAAAGTAAAATACAATCAAAATTAAAACGGTAGTAATGATGATGATAATAATGATTATCAACTGAATCTACTGCAAAATAAATCAACATGAATAGAAATTAATAACAATACTGGAACTGATCCCAAAAGTAGTACTTGATATGGAATTTAGCAGATGCAGCAGACAAATTTGAATCCATGCAAGGGAGACAATTCTATGATAATAAAGAGTAGATCAGAGCACAACAACTTGAAATAATTATGATTCAAGTAGTGATGTTATGTGAAGTGGCACAATAATCATGAGATCATCATACTCAATCTGTGTCATAAGGAGAAAAGTAGAGCCTGTGATCTTGAAGCTTGGAGCCGGTGATCTTAAAGCTTGGAGCCAGTGATCCCATGGATCTCAAGCTAATTTCTATTTCTAATAATAATTATGATCACACCAACACTAATAACTGTGGTCAGTGGTTTTAAATGAAATAGAGAGAAGCAAGAAAACTTTGACAGCAGACATTGCACGTGTATACACGATACACGAGTATTTAGACGAAAAACAGGTCTTCTAGTACATACAAGTATATACAAGAACCAAAAATGAGTAGACGGAGTCTGAGGAGACGATTTTCATGTATTTATATTAACTATTAATAATTAAAGGGTGTGTCCACGTAGCAGTCAAAATGGCAGTTAGTTTGCTTAACCATGGATCTTTGATGGTCTTCTTAGTCCTTCTAGGAATAGCAGATGATGAAAACAGCAATAGAAAAGGTAGTAAAGATATTATCTATTCAAATACTCAACATTTAAGTACAGGATATATGAAAAGTAAATGAAAAATCACCAAAATATAGACGAATTTGGGAAGCAATAAGTAAATGTACATACACGAAAGTTTGCCATTGAGTACAAGTACATACACAACCTGCTTTTTTCAAAATACAAGTAAATACAAGTACACGAAAATTCCAGTAGACGTGCAACCTCTGTTTGACAGTGTGCTTTGGAAGGCTGCAGTAAAGGTTTTTAATAATCTTTATAGCAATAATATTAATGAGAATCAGCTAGTGAATAATATCAAGCCTCGGTGTAAGCTTAACTACTAAAATGGATAAATAAATTATTTATTAGCAGAATAAAATTATTAGTAGACTAAATAAATTACTAAATAAATATACCAGTCTAAACAGAAGTTTACAAAAAATACAGCTCAGTGGTATCACTCAGTAGCGTATTGTCAGAGGAGAGCTTGAGGGATTAGTATTGACAGTATAGATTATATCAATTAACTGAACAGTTATAATACTTTTTGATTGTGTAGTTCACTTATGCAGTGATAGATATAACTACCAAAGTTTTTGTACTATTGTTATTTAAAATTTTTAATAATTTATATGAATTAAAAGGTGTAAATTCTTGAATATAATCATTACAAGTCTGGGCCATATTTCAGTGGCATTGATCTTAATTGCATGCGTACATTTCACTGATACAATGCATGTTATAATATCAAGTATAGACCTAAATTAAAAAATTTTTTCATGCATAAAATGATCAACCACAATAATTCAGTGTAGCTACCAACATCAGTAGCCATTGAAAATTTAAGCAGTTGCAATTCAGTATCATTACATATCTAATTTGTAACCATTATTCCACTAAATTCAGAACAAGATTTACTTCCCACACTAGGCTGTAAAGTGACACAAATAAGTATGAGATATTTAAATTTACTGCACCATTTGTAGAGTCACTGAACGACATCAATTAACTCAGTACAGTAGCTATCATGCTCAGGCTGTATACAGTTGTTTCATGAATAAGTTCTTTAAATTTGCAATATCTGAAGGTTTGGGCTTATATCTAAGCGAGAACTGAGCAGGATTTCAGTAAGAGTGAATCTTGACCTTAGCATTAGCTATAATTCTTAGCAGTGAGCAAA